ATCTGTGAGTTAGCCATGCCCTGACTATGATCAGCCCAGAGGTTGTTTCAGGGTTGTTTCAGGGTTGTTGACACACCCTTACATTCTATCAGTAACTTGGATTAAAATATTAAATGACTCCATGAAGAAATACTGTACTATATTCTTTTAAGAAATGCTTTGAAGCCCAAATGTCCCTCTACTGTAGATGTGCTGTAGTACTGACCTCCTCTTTCTGTTTTGTCTCCAGGAGAATAAACCTCTAGTGTTTCTTCCACTTCACAAGAGCCATCTTGATTACATACTAGTCACGTATGTCCTTCTCACTTGCGACATAAAATCACCACATGTTGCTGCAGGAGGCAAGTAGTTTTACTTTAATTTCTTTTATTATATTTTGTTTTTGTATCATTTCAATTCGAATCCCATTTTTTCGATCCTTCTCATCCTTTTTCAATCATGTAAAACCTTTATAAGCTTATTGTTTTATTTTAATCCCATTTTCCCATTCCTTTTTCACTTACTGTCTATCATAGTGAAAATCATGACAAGTTTATTCTTTCATTTCATTTCCATTCTTTCATTTCATTCCCATTCTTTCATTTCATTCCCCTTTTTACATTTCTTCATTTCCTTTTTCTACTTTACCACATTATAGTGATTCTAGGAACAGATAGTTTTTTTGTTTTATTCAATTTTCATCGTTACATTTCTTTCCATTTTTTTTCATATACATCATTGTAAAAACAGAGACAGTTGATATTTCTTGTTTCATTCAATTCCCATTTCTCTACTTGTTCCCATTTTTCACTTATTCAACTAATTCAAATTATTTCTTTCTTGTTTCAGATAACCTTGGGAACATGTTTTTGTTTAGGTCGGTAATATTGTCCATCATGTTATATCTTTATTGTAGCGGCCTACTTCCGGTTGTATGCTTTATCATCACGTGCACAGGTGTGCCAGTTATTTTACTGACCTCAAGGGCACACAACATATAGTTGTGGACATTTTTGAGTCCATGTTAGTTCTATAGTTTTATCAGAGAAAGGGCACACAACATATAGTTGTGGACATTTTTGAGTCCATGTTAGTTCTATAGTTTTATCAGAGAAAGGGCACACAACATATAGTTGTGGGCATTTTTGAGTCCATGTT